GACTTCCGCAGATGCCATAGCATTGATACAGATTTCATATTTTTCTAGTTTTCTATTTTCTACTATTCTATTTCCTGTTTCATAGTTGACCATGACTGATGTGCCAGGGGGATTCGTAGGCCGGCCGGTCATTAACGCCTGTCACTTGCTTTCGGATGTCTGCGGTTAGCTCAGCAAACAGCAGGAGGCAATTCCCGGTGGCACCACGTGGAAGGAGCGGACTTCTCTACCATGCCAATCGATCTGGTCGCGCGACAGAATTGCTCATGCGATCACAGCGACCAACTTGCGAGATGTAACCTCATAGTTCTAGTTTTTCAGAGGAAATAGATATGGTCAGTATGGAAGCATCAACTGTTGACGCCCTTGTAAAGTTCTGCTACTCTGGAGAGATAAACATTAGTGACACCAATGTATTGAGCATTCTACCCGCTGCTCGTATACTTCAACTGGACCAAGTTGAGGTTGGGGTGTTTTTTCGTAGACGGTTTAACCCTCTCAGCACTACGGAATTTGTGATGCTTAGTGTTTAGGAGTTGTGTTGTGAGTTTCTGAACAGGAAAATGGAGCGATCCAAACCGGTAATTCCCGCGATCGCAGGTAGTAATTCATGCTCTGAGGCTGACGAGGATATCTTGCACAAATTCGAGGTTATTACCTTGCTGTCAGTAGCTGAGTGGTCGTATATGTTCCAGCTTTCTATTGTTATGTGACCTGTTTCTGTTATTTTTTTTGTTTTTCAGAATGCTGTTAATACGGAGAAATCGCATAAGATTCTGCTTAACCAAGTAGTGGATCTAATTCTACGTGAAGAACAAAGTGCACGATCAGTGGAGCAGGTACAGGGACCAGTTTGATGTTAATGTAATGCTGTTTTTTGATCATTTTTATTCCCATTCTATTCATTATTGACCGCTGCAAATTCTTGAAGGTTGTTGAGACAGTTTCTCTCAGCGATCAGATCAGACCTGTCAGCACAAAAACAGCATTCTCTCGACGTGGAAAATAGCGATAATCTTGTCGATGGCTTTCTTTCAATTTTTGAGACTGCAGGTGGTGGATCAGATGGAAATGGGCTCTCCAAAATTTCTTGACAGCACAAACAATGGTTACGCGTCAGCGAAGGTAGAATGTGGCTTGCGGAGATCTGTCGAGGTGTTTGACGCCTTTCATAGTACCTCAACTCTCAACTGTCTTATTTCAGTACCTCCCGTCCAGTTACCGTACCTTCACCGAACCATATAGTAAGCAATTACTGGACACCCGACCAGAGGGATCATCAAACTGTCGTGAAGTATTATACGTTGGTATGACGATTGTCGCAGGATTCTTTTTTTTTCTTGAACATTTAGTTGTGGTATGTTTGCCTTACTTTCTTATTCCACTTGTTTCTTCTCATACATTTATTTGGTATGTTTTATCTCCGAAGTAGGGAACGGAGTAGTTGGCGCCAACCTTCACTACGGTAGGTCGTACATGTGGGCAAATGTCCTCAGATTTTTTTATCGGAACTTATTCTTGAGCACTAAAACACGTCTGAAATAGACAATGTGGAGAAAGAGCTGTTCGACCTTACCTTCAGTTTAACCTGTTGGGCTGTACAGCGGCTTCTCATCCGAGAACATCTTTCCGCGATATTCAGCACAACAACATTGACCGCTATTAAACACACTTGGGGGAGTCACACATTTTTTTTCTGGGACGTATATTAATGCCGCAGGGGGAAGGGCATATATCATTTGATATATTCCTTTCATTTTCTACAGTTGCCAAAACACATCTCTCAAGGAGATTCTCATATCAAATTGATAAGACATGACTGATCATCTTTTTATTCTTTGTTTGTTCCGCTCCGTGGCTTGGTCAGCTCTTCTGATATGGCAACGCCACTTCTTTCAATTGGATGCCTGATCGGAGCGCATTCCGACTACCCTCAAGCCTGTTTGCAGCGTATCGAGCCACCGCTGTATGAGACGTCCCTTGAGTCGCTTTCCGACCATCTCAAGCTGAAAACTAGTCTATAGACACTGTTAACCTTTGCGCGAATGCATGGCGAAGTACAACCGAAGGCCGTTCTCGTACTTCGTCGGCGATAGGAGCTATACTGCAATTCGTGCGCATTACACGTTACAAATGCGGTCTGAACGCGTGGCGCTCGCCGTCCTACGCAATATTCTCATCTCTATCACACTGCGATCGACTTCTCTGGTCGCTGACCAGTACTTAGCACCGTTTAAGGCAACTGGTTGAACCACACTTCTACAGGTCTTCGACTCAGTACGCTCTGGCATCCTCTTGTCACGAAGAATCCCGCACATCGCCATTTCGGCCACGCTGCGCTCACACGTGCGTTAAATTCGGAGAGAAAACCTCCATCGAACACAGTTGCTGATTCGAGATTCTTGGATTTTTTTTTGTACGCGAGAACTCAGTGCCGTCGATTTGATGGAGAACGTCTCACTTGAGTCGGCTTCAAGTACTCGGTCTTTCTGACATTCAACTTGAGCCCAAACTTCGGCCAAGCGATCAGTCCAAGCTTGCACCTGTTGCTCTAGCGTACTCTTATCTTCGCAGGCAAGCATCACTCATCACCATAAAGTCCAAAGGACTTCCGTCTGGAGTCTCGCGGAATGGCATCCATGACGACAACGAAAAGGGGTAGGGAGGGCGCGGATGCCCCGACGATGATGGGAAACTGCATCAAAGTGCCAGCAGTAGCGTACTTCTTCGCAAGTGAGCTTCAGTCATCATCACTACGGCTACGTAGGACGCCGTAGTAGTATTTCGGAGTTCATGTGGCATTATTAAGCATGGATGATGTGACATGATTGTCGTACGCCAACCCTTCACGAATGCCTGTCACCTGCATTCGAATGCCCGTGTTCGGCTCAGCCCGACAAAGCGAGCAGTATCCAGATAGGACGCGCCGAGGAACGGACTTCATCGCCCCATAACTGATCATCGTTGTGAAGGAATTATGAATGATGAGTGATTATCCGGACTGTTATGGTCTGCGGCGTTCTGATGACTAAAAATGCAGCGAAACGTGGTACGGCTTGAAAGAATGCCTATCAGAAGGTCCTCTTTCTTGTCTAATTGTTTTCCTTCGGATGACATTTGATCTATGATTCTACTGTATATAAACGGTAACGTCTGTACTTGAGAAGACAATAGGGGTCAGATGAAACGAAAATTCGGACTGTGATGGGAGGGAAGAGTTGTTCGATGGAAATACTCATTTTCCTCTCTATCTTATGCTCCATTCTATGAAGATTGACAAAGAAAGAGTTGGTAAAATGAAGAGACGAAATTCTAATAATTCTGGGTTCCTGGTACCTGCAAACCTGGATAGGTGTTCTCAATGGGTGATGAAGTATCCGCTTAACAATTAGCTTAACAATTATGATATCACTACACAACTTATTTTTTGGTATACAATATTTGAATTCCACTGTTTTTTCAAGACGGCAGACTATTTTGTTATATTTTC